CCTTGCGCCCAGCCTGTCTTTTTTTTTGAAATGGAGTCTCTCTCTGTCACCCAGGCTGGAGTGCAGTGGCTTGATCTCAGCTCACTGCAACCTTCACCTCCCAGGTTCAAGAGATTCTCCTGCCTCAGCCTCCCTAGTAGCTGAGACTACAGGCATGTACTACCATGCCTGACTAATTATTTTAGTTTTAGTGGATATGGGGTTTGACCAAGTTGGCCAGGGTGGTCTTGAACTCCTGACCTCACATGATCTGCCTGCCTCAACTTCCCAAAGTGCTGGGATTACAAGCGTGAGCCACCGCGCCTGGCATTCTGAAAGGAGGTGGGGTGGGAAAAGGGTGACATTTAAGCATGTGGAGGTGGGGAATGTTCAGCGCCTGTGCAGTCTGGTCACATGCTTCTTGATGTGTGGTATATCTCATTAGCATGTTAAAGCTCTGCCCTGGGCATGATTTTTAGTATTATAAGGAAGCAAAGGGTAAAGATTGGTCATTTTTCTAGTCTTTGGTGCATGCAGGCTATAGGGTTAACTCCCTTGAGTAAGATTTAAGGTGGGAGCTGTTTATTTTCCTTTCCTCAAGGTCTGCAATCAGTGGGCAAGGTACCTTGAGCAAGATTTACGGTGCAACCTCTGGATGATCTGACGGGGGTCTGTGCCTGCTGTGGGCCACTCTCCCCAACCAGCTTGAAGTAGAGTCCTCGATGAGGCAGGGCAGGGGACCAAGTCCCATCTCTGGTCTATCTCAGAAGTATTTGCAATGATGCTGATGGGAGGACAGACTGGCTGGCACCAGCCAGGGGAGGTGGCCACAGCACCCATTTGCATTTAATCTGTAAGGAACAGAGAGTCCTTGAGGGCCCTGATGAGATCAGCAGGCAGAAATGTGATGAGAATGGCAGAGTCTCCAGCCCATCCAGGACCTGCCCGCAGCACCCCCTGGATCTCAGAGGTGCGCTAGAAAACAGGTGACACTGTGCAGGTGTGGGGTTACAACGCCCTCTGCAAGCAACTCCACAAACCAGATAGCAGAAGGGACGATAGCTTTGAGAAGAAAACCACCGGGGCTTTGCCAGATACCAAGGCTCCAGCTTGGAAGAGGGAAAATCCGGAGGCAGCTGCAGCTGGAAAATCACACCATGCATGGGTTATAAGCCAGATGCAGATTTTGCTTTGTCACCTATAAAAATTACTCCTCCCCTGAAAGTCACGGCTGTAAAGGTCGCTTCGCAGGGGAAGTTGATCTCGGTCTGATAAAATCTCCGCATGCCTTGTGACTTTCGCTCTCTGTTAGATGATGAACAGACTTCTCCTGCCCCTGAGGCCAACAGATTTGGACGACTCCAGGGCTGGCGGTGGGTGGAAGGATGGAAGGGGAACAGGACAGGGCAGGGACATTTGCACTTGGTGGTGCCGGCCTGGTTCTTGAGGTTGAGCAAATGTTTGAAGCTGCCTTTTTATTGTAGGAGCTTCTCTGGGTTCTTGGGGCCCCCAGTTGGGCCTTATAGGCCTTTGCTCCTCGGGTGGAGGGGGATGCCTCCCCATTAGCTGGCCACATGCCCTGGATGCTTCTCCCTGGCCACCTCCCCTCTCTGTCGGACTCTCCTCATTCTCCCTGCCCTTGTCAGCACCCCTCTCCCCAAGGCACACATCTGGTCCACAGAACATTCTGACCCATTTCTTGGCTGACTCCCAGCCAGATGCAGTTCTTTCCCAGATGCAGAAATGCAGCCCCTTCCTCCTGACGCCTTCCACCCCATGCGTGGTGGCATGAGCCTGTAATCCCAGCTACTCGGGAGGCTGAGGCGGGAGAATTACTTGAGCCTGGGAGGTAGGTGGAGGTTGTGGTGAGCTGAGATCGTGCCACTGCACTCTAGTCTGGATGACAGAGTAAGATCCTGTCTCAAAAATAAAATAAAATAAAATAAAATAAAAAATTCCTTCTCCACTCTCTCCACCCTTCTCACAATACTGCTATGTCTCTTCCTCTTGGGAATCCCCAATCTTATCTATTGAAAACCTACTTCTCCTTTGGAATTTAGCTCCAGCCCTGGCTCCATCCTGTGAACCATTTCTTTCTCTCCTGAGGTTGAAGCGGCCCCACCCACTGCCCACAGTGCCCCATGCCGATTCCTCCCATGGTTTGGCGGTCACTGTCCTATGTGTCTACACATCATAAGGCCCCTGAGGACAAGAACCAAGCTCCTTCATCTCTGTGTCCCCAGAGGCTTGCACCGTGCCTGACATACAGCAGGGATTCATTAAATGCTCAGAGGTGAAATATTTCGTTAGAGGCATCAGTGGACTAGGGAAGCAAGCTGGGAGAGTTTTCTTGGTCAAATTCATGACAACGGCTGTGACTCTGGGTCCTTTGTATTGCAGGTACCTTTCTGGTTACCCTGCTGGTGAAGAATGCCTTCTCCAACCTGAGTTTGGAAATCGGGAACATCACTATCACAGGCAAGGTGTTTCTGCAAGGGGGCATAAAACCTTTTACCAGGAGTCCAGGGCATTGCAACTGCTTAGGCTCTAGTGAGGGGCCTTTCCAAACACGGCTCTGAATATGTATCTTGTACTACAGATGGTTAGAATCCTCCAGTTATTCTAAGGAGGCAATGATGTTTACAGTAAAACATTTAACCACTGATACAGAATTCTAAAACGAGAGTTTGCGTTCATTATGATGCTTTAAGCTGCAAGTAACAGAAAGTCCAACCTAAGTAGCTTCAGATTCAGGGCTTTCTCATCTCACATAAGAAGTTGGAGGTAAGCACTTCCAGGGTTGGTTCGGTGGCTCAGCGATGCCAGCAAGAAACCAGGCTCAGTCTATCTTTCTCCTCTGCCATCCTTAGAGCTTTGGGGCTGCCTTAGGCTTGCTGCTCAGGGAATCAAAGTGACTGCTGCAGTTCCAGATATTGCATGTCAACCCAGCATTATCCAGCAGCGGGAGAAGGGGTTTCCTCGTGTGCACCTCTTTTTGTTAGGGGAAAAATCTTTCCCACTCTACACAATCATCACCTCAGATACCATGACCAAAGTAGGGTCATGTCTGCAGCTATAAAGTGCACTGGAAAAGCAGATACCCAGCGTTTTCAGGTTCTGTGGGAGAAGGTGGATTCTGGCTGCCAGGAGGAAGGCTGGGGTAATGGCTGTTGGGGAACTAGCTGACAGTAGCCATCACAGAGGTAGAAATCACTTGAATGTGTTTGCTAGGACAGTTCAAGTAGCAAGGGACAGAAAAGAAGCTCAAACTGGCTTGAGTCAAAAGGAAATTTTATCAGCTCAGAAAATGAAAAGCTGGTTGGTCACCGTGGCTCGTGCCTACAATCCCAGCATTTTGGGAGGCCGAGGTGGTGGATCACTTGAGATCAGAAGTTCGAGACCAGCCTGGCCAACATGACGAAAACCTGTCTCTACTAAAAATATGAAAATTAGCTGGGCGTGGCGGCACACACCTGTAGTCCCAGCTACTGGGGAGGCTGAGGCAAGGAGAATCGTTTGAGCCCAGGAGGCAGAGGTTGCAGTGAGCCAAGATCATGCCACTGCACTCCAGCCTGGGTGACAATGTGAGATGGTGTCCCCTCCGAAAAGAAAAACGAAAATGAAAATGAAAAGCCCAGGGAGCGGACCTGTTCTTAAACACAGCTGGATGCGTTGCTCAGACAATATCTTCAGAAACCTGCCTCTCTCCCCCTCTGGTTCTGCGATGGCTTCTTTTGGATTCTCTCTTTCTGGCAGTAGTAAGATGGCCCCAGGCTTTGATCCTTAACCCCAGAGGAGAAAGAGCACCTCTTGATGGAGATTTCTAGTAGAAGTCCTGAGGCTGCGTCTTGCTGGCTGAAACTCAGTTCATGGTTTCTCCTGGACCAGCTGCTGAGACCAGGGGAAGTGGCAGTCAGTTTGGCAGGTCACAGTCTCATGCCCACACTGGAGTACAATGTAGGGTCAGCTTCACCCAAACCAAGGCCTGAGAGTTGGGGAGGGATGGTTCTTAGGGAAAATATCACCCAAGATGCTGCTACCAAGGGAGCGAGGCATAGATGCCTGGAAATTCGACAGCCAGATATGGGATTTGAGGCCCAGAAAGTTTAATTGACTTTGCAGAAGTCACACGGCTGATTCATGGCAGGATCAAAGGCAGCAAATATTTCTCCTAATTTTTTCATTCGGGGTGATTGGACTGCCTTCCTTCTTAAGGTTAAGAAAGCCCCCTTTGTCTGGCATCTTAGCCTTGATTTGTATAGTTTTACATGCCTGTGGAATTATAGTTGTGTGAATGAGAATTCACTGGGAGAGAGTTTTTTAAAGATCAGTGCTACTGATCTTTATATATATCCTTATATATATATCCAGGGCCTTAGTGAATCACACAAAATAACTGTAAGTTCCTATCTTAATCACTATACTTTAATTAGACATTAATCATTAATATTTCAATATTTTCAGCAGGCCGGGCACAGTGGCTCACGCCTGTAATCCCAACACTTTGGGAGGTCGAAGCGGGTGGATCACTGGAGGTCAGAGGTTCAAGATCAACCTGGCCAACATGGTGAAACCCTGTCTCTACTAAAAATACAAAAATTAGCTGGGTATGGTGGTGCACACCTATAATCCCAGCCACTTAGCAGGCTGAGGCAGGAGAATCGCTTGAACCCGGGAGGTGCAGGTTGCAGTGAACCAAGATCATGCCACTACACTACAGCCTGGGCAACAGAGCTAGACTCCATCTCAAAAATATATATTTTTTCAGAGACATCAATTGATTGTACCTTTTTCCATTGTTTAAACTTGACACGCTAGCATTCTTTCTAGATGTATAGTTTACAAAGTAATTCTATAAACAGCACTACATTCAGTCTTCCCGGAGCCCTGAGAAAAACGGATGGCCTCCAGGCATTTTTACAAATGAGGAAACCAAGACTCAGAGAGGATGACTCACCTGCCCAGTTCACATAGCCAATAGGAGGCCAGTAAGAGAATCTGACAGCAGCATAGTGTGTGGTGACCACTCCACCCACTTGCCAGAGGTGAGCGTGCCCATCTCTCCTCACTCCATATTCAGTAGCATCAGGTTTATAGCTTGGTGGGAACATTTATACCATGGAAACTGACAAACACTACAAATCAAGGCTCCTCACTCCCACCTCCTTTACTGGTAGTTAAACATTAGCAGTGCAGGCTGGGCCCAGTGGATCATGCCTCTAATCCCAGCACTTTGGGAGGTCGAGATAAGCGGATCACCTGAGGTCAGGAGTTTAAGCCCAGCCTGGCCAACAAGGTGAAATGCTGTCTTTACCAAAAATACAAAAAATTAGCTGGGTGTGGTGGCGGGCACCTGTAATCCCAGCTACTCGGGAGGCTGAGGCAGGAGAATGGCTTGAACCTGGGAGACAGAGGTTGCAGTGAGCCCAGATCATGCCACCGCACTCCAGCCTGAGAGAGAGAGAGCGAGACTCTGTCTTGAAAACAACAACAACAACAACAACACATTAGCAGTGCATAACTGCATCTGTCTGACTCTAAATCTTGTGTTTTATCTGCCCTGGCAGCTGCCTCTTTCTCAACTACCAAAGAGGTGTCTTCAGTCCAGCGGTGGACATGATGGCTCACTTTTAATCCATTCCCTATGACCTGAACATTTGCTATGTTCCCTTAAACCATTTTCAAAGACAGGCTGATGCTCCTGGTGGCATTTTCCACATGACTCTCTGACACTATCTTTTGGCAACCTTTTATAAGGTTTCCAACCAAAGCTTGATACCCCTTCCCACTGTGTTCACAGCCCCTTCCAGTCTCCAAGAACCATCTGGGATGAATGCTGAAGGAAAGAATGTGAGTATTGTCTTCAAATAACATTTAACCTGGCCAGGCGCGGTGGCTCACACCTGTAATCCCAGCACTTTGGGAGGCCGAGGCGGGCAGATTACGAGGTCAGGAGATCGAGACCATCCTGGCTAACACAGTGAAACCCCATCTCTACTAAAAATACAAAAAATTAGCTGGGCGTTGTGGCGGGCGCCTGTAGTCCCAGCTAGTCAGGAAGCTGAGGCAGGAGAATGGCGTGAACCCGGGAGGAGGAGCTTGCAGTGAGCCGTGATCGCACCACTGCACTCCAGCCTGGGCAACACAGCGAGACTCAGTCTCAGAAAACAAAAGAAAAAAAAGAAAAAAAAAAGTTTAACCTCACAAGGAAAAGATGTCCAAGCACTCTGTTTTAGTTTTGAGTTTTGGTGTGTTGGTACCAATGGCCAGAGCACTAGGAATCCCTGAGGCGTCTTCCATGTGAAAAGAGGCCTAAAATGACTGAATTCAAACAAAGCAAGTTGTCTAATCACAACAGAGTTAGGTTGTAAATCGATAATAAGCTATCTAGGATATGTAGATATCTGTTAGATATCTTGGCAATTAAACAGCACACTTGTTAAAAAATCAATAGCTCAAGAAGAAATCACAAGGGAAATTAGAAAGTATATCTAACTACATGATAATGACAGCACAACCTATGCAAATTTGTGGAATGCAGCTAAAGCAGTGCTCAGAGGGAAATTTATCACTTTTAATGCTTATATTAGAAAGCAGGACAAAAAAGAAAACTGGCCCAAGCTCTTTAGTTTTTATAACAAAGACTGAGTTCAACTCCTTGCTGTCGACGTTGTTCAGGCATGCATTTATTCTATAATGAAGATTTATTTTGCATCTACAGCGTTCAAGGCTAGGTATTAGGGGCTGGAAATGCAATAGTGAATAAGCACATATAGTCCCCGCCTTCATGAAGTTTACTGAGTAATACTAATGAATATATTGGCCAGGTACGGTGACTCATGCCTGTAATCCCAGCACTTTGGGGGGCCCAGGTGGGAGGATCACTTGAGCCCAGGAGTTCGAACAACAAAGTGAGACCCTCATCTCTCAAAAAAAAAAAAAAAAAAAAAAAATTAAAAATTAGCCAGTCATTAAGGTGCATGCCTGTGGTCCCAGCTACTTGGGAGGCTGAGGTGGGAGGATAGTTTGGGCCTGAGAGGTTGAGGCTGCAGTGAGCCATGGCTGTGCCACTGCACTCCAGCCTGGGTAATAGAGTAAGACCCTGTCTCAAAAAAAAAAAAAAAAACAAAAAAACAAAAAAACTCCAACAAACAAATTATCATAGAATTAGAAATTGTGATAAGTATCGAATAAGAACCAATAGGGTGCAGCGATAGCAATGGACAGGGTGGTCTGGCTGATGTGGTCAGACACGGCCTCTCCAGAGGTGACGTGTAAGTGGACACGTGAAGATCAGCCAGCCAGCCATGCTGGAAAGCAGAACAAGAGCTTTCTGAGCGGGCAGATCTCAGAGGCAGGCGATGGCCTGAAGCCAGCATGGCTGGAGCCTGGTGGAGGAGAGGGATGTAGGAGATTATGGACACAGAGGCCAGATCACGCGGAGCCTTAGGTGCCAAGGCAAGAAGTTTGGATTTTATTCTCAGGCCATGGGAGGCCACTGGGGGTTGAGTTCCACTGTAGCCCCGTGTTATTTCAGGTCAGGACTTCGGGGCTTGAGCAAGAAGCTCTACAGCCCGAGCTGTTTAACAAGTCCCACCAGAACTTACTCCAGGAATACCCCGTGTTTCTAGAGCCCACACTCAGAATCACATTACATAGCCAGGGATCCTGAGCAACCGATTTCTGGAGCCCACACTCAGAATCACATTACTTAGCCAGGGATCCTGAGCAAGCGATTTCTGGAGCCCACACTCAGAATCACATTACTTAGCCAGGGATCCTGAGCAACCGATTTCTGGAGCCCACACTCAGAATCACATTACATAGCCAGGGATCCTGAGCAAGCGATTCCATGCCCCATGAGGGGAAGGAAGCCAAGGGGATTGGCCAGTGTCTGTCTCCACTCCACCCCTTACACTGAGGCTGCTTTTGGTGCAGACTGCTCTGGGGTGAAAGGGGGATGCCAAAGGCACCCCACAGTGAGCCTGAGCTAACTGTAGTGGGAGTCTCACCAGCTGGCTGCTTTTTTTGCAGAAAGATAAAGGTGATATGGAGGTGTCTATCCAACCTGGTCCATACGTGGATCCTTTCACGACAGTGACCCTGGACTGGCCGGACAATGATAAGGAATTACGCTTCCAATGGTCATGTGGTAGGTGATGATAGAGTTCTTTTTTTTTTTTTTTTGAGACAGAGTTTCGCTGCCCAGCCTGGAGTGCAATGGCGCGATCTCGGCTCACTGCAACCTCCGCCTCCTGGGTTCAAGCCATTCTCCTGCCTCAGCCTCCTGAGTAGCTGGGATTATAGGTGCCCACCACCACACCCAGCTAATTTTTGTATTTTTAGTAGAGATAGGGTTTCACTTTGTTGGCCAGGCTGATCTCGAACTCCTGACCTCAGGCGATCCTCCTGCCTCGGCCTCCCACAGTGCTGGGATTACAGAAATAAGCCACCGTGCACTGCCGATGATAGAGTTCTTGAATTGTCCTGTTTCATTAAGAAGTGGTGAGCAGCGGTCAGACTTTGCTGTTCTTTTTCTTAGTCTTCACACCAGCTTTTCCTATGGCCGACATTTTGTGTAACTTGTACATGCCAGACCTTGCAAATTCCATGGAAATAGCAGGTGGGGCTGAGCCTAGTTGCTCGTGCCTGTAATCCCAGCACTTTGGGAGGCTGAGGCAGGTGGATCACTGGAGGTCAGGAGTTCAAGACCAGCCTGGTCAACTTGGTGAAACCCCATCTCTACTAAAAATAGAAAAATTAGCCAGATGTGGTGTTGCATGCCTGTAATCCTAGCTACTCTGGAGGCTGAGGCAGGAGAATCGTTTGAACCCAGGAGGCAGAGGTTGCAATGAGCCAAGATCGCGCCATTGCACTCCAGTCTCGGCAACAAGGGCGAAACTCCATCTCAAATAAGTAAATAAATAAATAAATTTAAAAAGTGACGTTAAAAAAATTAAAATGTTTATTTAGAGCTGATGTTATTATTCATGACCCCTCTCAAAACCAGTGTGTGCCACGTTCAGGGCCGCTGATGGATAACAGCGTCTGTCCGTTTCTCTCAGGGCGTTGCTGGGCTCAGTGGAGCGGCTGTGTTGCGAGGCAGCTGCTGCACACAGACCAGAGGGAGCTGGCGGTTCCAGCATCCTGCCTGCCGCCGCCTGACTCCGCTGTCACCCTGCGCCTGGCTGTTCTGAGAGGTCAGAAGCTGGAGAACAGGGCAGAGCGGTGCCTCTACGTGTCTGCGCCCTGGGAACTCAGGCCTCGAGTCAGGTGGGGCACGTGGGCAGTTCCTCCAGGGTCCTGATTCATTCGTTCAGCCGACACTTACCGAGGACCCACTAAGGCCGGGGCTGCCTTGGGGCAGGGCTGGCTGTGGGGGTCTCTGTTCTCTTGGGGGTTAGCTACCACCTGGTGATCAGCACTGCTGGCGTGAATGAAGAAGGGAGACAGCGCACGTCTATGAAAACTGCCCTGACTGGGGATCAGAGAGGCTTCTCTCAGGAACTGAAGCTCAGCAGAGATGTTCGGGAGAAACTCACAGGGCAGGGAACGGGCAGCTGGAGCAGGAATAGAGCGGGCAAAGGGAGGGAGCAGAGAATCATCAGGGAGTGAAAGAGGCCAGTGTCCTGAGGATGGAAAAGAGAAGGGTGGGAAGGAGCTGGTAGTGTAGGCAGGGCTCAAGTGGGGCCTTGCCGGTCATATCAAGATTTTACCCTTTTTCCTAAGAGTGATACAGAGAAATCACCCGAGAGTTCTTTATTTCTATTTTTATTTTTATTTTTATTTTTTTGAAATGGAGTCTCGCTCTGTCACCCAGGCTGGAGTGCAGTGGCGCCACTGCAGCTCACTGCAGCCTCCGCCTCCCAGGTTCAAGCCTTTCTCCTGCCTCAGACTCCCGAGTAGCTGGGATTACAGGCACGCGTGCTACCGTGCCCAGCTAATTTTTATGTTTTTTGTAGAAGCGGGGTTTCACCATGTTGGATAGGCTGGTCTCGAACTCCTGACCTTAGGTGATCCACCTGCCTCGGCCTCCCAAATTGCTGGGATTACAGGAAATGAGCCACCGTGCCCAGCCAAGCATCCAACAGTTCTAAGCATGTTACTTCAATATGCTCTGGCGACTCGGTGGAGAATGACTTGGAAGAGGGCCAGGGAAGACTCAGGGAGATTGCCCAGGCTCTTGCAGGAGTCAAAGTAGGAGGTCAAAGTTGCTTGGCCTATCAGCCAGTCCCTGCAGGAAGCAGATGGCTCAGCCAAACCAGGAATAAATGGAAGAGAGCTGGATGAAGGGACCGTTTGCAGGTGAGGGCAGGGATAAGGGAATGAACCAGGGGCAACAAGGCAAGAATATAACCAAGGAAAGCCATTATCACCCCCAGGAATGCAGAGGTAAGATAACGGGATGGCATTACTAGAAGTCCTGGGAGCTGTCGCTGTGGGAGAGGGACCTCCCAACGGGAGATGTGGCCTTAGTTGGAGAAGCACAGCCTCTCCCACCTACAGCCCATCGGGGAAAAGAGCAGGGAAAGCCATGAATAAATTCCCCAAACTCTCTCCTCTTACCCTCCAGTCCTCTGTCAATGCTTCCCATTGGCTGGACCCAGTCAGAAGCTGGAGGGTGTGGCAGCTTGGGTGATGCAGTCACCCAAGTCTAGAAAGCTCAGTCTCCCAGGTCAGAGCCGCAAGTGGGGGGAGACTGGAACAGAGAGGCAGATACAGAATGTCCCGCACACTTGGACTAGGACAGACATGAGGAAAGAAGCAGGAAGATTCAAGAGCTATCGTCAAGTTCAGACCAAAGGGGAAACTGGGGAACTGTCCTGTGGAGGGCAGGTCTATGCAAACCTTCCCCCAAAGTCTGAGGAAGCAGAGAGGCCGAAGAAAGAAGCTGACATGTTTAGTTTCTCAGAAAGGAACATTTAATTGAGACTTGTGAACAGAAACCATGATGTCCAGGGCGGCTGCAAGACAAGATGGTGAATGCCAGCACCATGACCCCCCTGAACCAGGGCTTATATACCACAGGGAAGGAATGTGTAGGACAATTGTAGGGAAAGGCAAGAATACTATGTGAATCTCTTTCAGGGCAGTACTCACAGTAAGTACATGCTCTTACACAAAGAACTGTAGAGAGAATAGAAATCTTAGAGGGATTCCTGGAATTGGAATTAATCAGTAGTCAACATGACAGATTAGCATCCAAGATGGAGTTGCTTTGGCCTTCATAGAGACTTTATAGAGAAGACCAAGAGTTTGGATCCAGACACAATGGTTCAGGTTCTATCTGCCCACTTAGAAGTTACATGACATAAGCTTTCGGGACCTGGTTTGCTCATCTGTGATGTGGGGATGCTAATATGTCACTCATAGGGCTATTGTGAGCATTGGACAAGCTAGAGACAATGGAAGTAACGTGTGCATGGCAGGCACACTGTCAAACCACAGCATTAGTTTACTATTATCAGAACTAAAAAGAATCACAGAAATTATCTAGGCTATCCCCTCATTTTTCAGGTGAGGAAACTGAGGCTTAGAGAGTTTAAGTGATTTGGCCAGACATGGTGGCTCATATCTGTAATCCCAGCACTTTGGGAGGCCGAGGAGGGTGGATCACCTGAAGTCAGGAGTTTGAGACCAGCCTGGCCAACATGGTGAAACCCCGTCTCTACTAAAAAAATACAAACATTAGCTGGGTGTGTTGATGAGCGCCTGTAATCCCAGCTACTTGGGAGTCTGAGGCAGGAGAATTGCTTGAACCAGGAGGCAGAGGCTGCAGTGAGCTGAGATTGCACCACTGTACTCCAGCCTGGGCGATAGAGTCTCAGTCTCAAAAAAAAAAAAAAAAAAAAGCGTTTAAGTGATGCACACAAGGTGACCATTTATAAGCGATAAGGACGGGATTAGAACCCAGGTCCTGTCTCAGCCTCATTCACCTTCCATATCATTATGCTGTGCAGTGAATGAAATGGGAATTCAGTCAGGCCATGACTCAGTCCATCTTCACAACCAAGGCTATGTCCCGGCGTTGGTTGGGGCGGGGACGGCTTTTATTCCGTCTTTAATTTGAAAAAGGGCCATTCCCTACCCTCTCAAAGGACTTGAGAAGAACTGGACAAAAAACCCGGCCAGTGGTCACAATACCTGTCTGAGTCCATTTTGCACTGTTATAAAGGAATATCTGAGGCTAGGTAATTTATAAAGAAAAAAGGTTGGCCGGGCGCAGTGGCTCATGCCTGTAATCCCAGCACTTTGGGAGGTTGAGGCGGGTGGATCACTTGAGGCCAAGAGTTTGAGACCAGCCAGGCCAACAGAGCAAAATGCTGTCTCTACTGAAAATACAAATTAGCTGGGTATGGTGGTGCATGCCTGTGATCCCAGCTATTCGGGAGGCTGAGACAGGAGAATCGCTTGAATCTGGGAGGCAGAGGTTACAGTGAGCCAAGATCAGGCCACTGCACTCCAGGCTGGGTGACAGAGCCAGACTCTGTCTCAAAAAAAAAAAAAAAAAAAAAAAAAAAAAAAAAAAAGAAAGAAAGAAAGGAAAAAGAAAAGAAAGAAGAAAAAAGGTTCATTTGGCTCATGATTCTTACGGTTGGAAAATCCAAGACCGGACATCTGTATCTGATGAGGGCCTCAGGCTGCTTCCACTTGCCGTGGAAGATGAAGGGGACCTGGTGTGTGCAGAGAAGGGAGGGAGGGGCCAGGCTCTTCTTTTTTTTTTTCTGGAGATGGAGTGTCAATCTGTCACCCAGGTTGGAGTGCAGTGGTGTGATCTTGGCTCACTGCAACCTCCACTTCCCTGGTTCAAGTGATTCTCCTGCCTCAGACTCCCAAGTAGCTGGGACTACAGGCGCTCACCACCGTGCCTGGCTAATTTTTGTATTTTTAGTAGAGATGGGGTTTCACCATGTTGGCCAGGCTGGTCTCAAACTCCTGGCCTCAGATGATCCGCCTGCCTTGGCCTCTCAAAGCGCTGGGATTATAGGCATGAGCCACCACGCCTGGCCATCTTTTTAACAACCAGCTCTGGGGGTGACTAATAGAGCAAGAACTCGCTCCCGAGGGAGGGCATTCATCCATTCATGAGGAATCTGCCCCCATGACCCAAACACCTCCCATTAAGCCCCACCTCCAACATTGGGGATCACATTTCAACATGAGGTTTCGGGGGACAAACATCCAGATGATAGCAATGCCTGGGGGAGCTTCCTCACTCTGTCCTCTGTCTGCCTTTCAGCTGTGAGAGGAACTGCAGGCCAGTTAATGCCAGTGAAGATATTCTGCTCAGGGTCACCATGGGGGAGGACTCCCCAGTGGCTATGTTCAGCTGGTATTTGGACAACACCTCAGCAGAGCAGGTGAGCACAGTGACAATCACTCCAGAATGGAAATCTCCCTTGTGCTTTCAGGACACCCGTGTCGCATGGCCATTACTGGGCCACGGTTGGGTCAACTCCATTCAGAGCGTGTGGTGTGGGACTCAGGGTATTGGGCTAGGGAGAAAATCAGAGAACTGACAGCAGGGCAAATGGGCACAAGGGAGAAAAGCTCTGGAGAAACTTTGCAGCAGTGCTCTTGGCATCTCAGCAAAGTCCCGCTTCCCAGACGGACAATCCTAACTCCAGCTTTCGTGGAATGGCCATTGGTCAACAATTGATGGATGGAGGGTCTAATAGACCAGCCTGTGTGTCCCCAGGTAGGGTGATTTCAGTGGTGCAACTTACACTTCAGGGCTCTCCGTGCGACCAGGCTAAGGCTGGACGCCTCCAGTAACTTTTTTGCCTTGTTTTGTTCTCTGCTGTTTCTCTCTCTTCACTGCTTTTCCCTGGGAACCCTCCTTCAATAAATAACCTGCACATAAGGCTGGGTATGGTGGCTCATGCCTGTAATCCCAGCACTTTGGGAGGCCAAGCCAGGCAGATCACCTGAGGTCAGCGGTTTGAGACCAGCCTGGCCAACATGGTGAAACCCTGTCTCTACTAAAAATACAAAAACATTAGCGGAGTATGGTGATGTGCGCCTGTAATTCTACCTACTCGGGAGGCTGAGGCAGGAGAATCACTTGAACCTGGGAGGCAGAGGTTGCAGTGAGCTGAGATCATCCACTGCACTCTAGCCTGGGCAGCAGAGTAAGACTCTGTCTCAAAAATATTTTCTTTTTCTTTATCTTTTTTTTTTTTTTTTTTTTTGAGATAGAGTCTCACTCTGTCACCCAGGCTGGAGTACAGTGGCACGATCTCGGCTCACTGCAACCTCTGCCTCCTGAGTACAAGTGATTCTCCTGCCTCAGCCTCACAAGTAGCTAGGATTACAGGCGCACACCACCATGCCCAGCTAATTTTTGTATTTTTAGTAGAGACACAGTTTCATTAAACTACAGAGTTTAGTAGAGACAGAGTTTGGCCAGGCTGGTCTCGAACTCCTGAGCTCAGGTAATCCTCCCACTTCGGCCTCCCAAAGTGCTGGGATTACAGGTGTGAGCCACTGTGCCTGGCTCAAAAATAAATAAATAAATAACCTGCACACAAATCCCCATCTGAGGCTCTGCTTCTGGGGAGCCCAACCTGAGACAAACACCCCAATGAGGCTGGAAAGTGGATATTCCAGGTGATTTCTTGGGGAGCTAGGGCTGCCTGCCCTCCATTCATCAGTAATAAATCTGAAAGGCTGTCTAGCACCCAGAAGCCACTGTCCTGCTGCAGTCCAGTGGCCTGGCTATAGCGTCAGGAGCCCTGGGCGATCCTCTCTTTCAGGCCGAGCCCCTCCCGGATGCCTGCGGACTCAGAGGATTTTGGCCAAGTTCCTTAACCCTCCTCCAAAGCAACACCTCCACGTTGTTGCTGAACAGCTCCTTTCTGCAGTCCTGGGGAGAGGTCATCCGAATCAGAGCCACAGGTGCGAAGCCTCCCTTTTATCTCCTCTCAGGGAACCCAGATAAACCCAGAAACACTCAGATACTGGGCATGAGTTTATTTTTCTTTTCTCTTTTAAATACGGAAATAGAGAGATGGGATCTCACTATGTTGCCCAGGCTGGTCTTGAACTCCTGGAGTCAAAGGATCCTCCTGCCTCAGCCTCCTAAAGTGCCGGGATGGCAGGTGTGAATCACCACACCCAGCCAGGGCATCAGCTTAGCGCAGAGGCCACAGCGCAGGCTCTGGTGTGAATCGCACCACTGCCGCTTTCTACATGGGAAACTCTAGGCAGAGGATTTCACCTCTCTGTGCCTCAGTTTCCTCACATGTAAACTGGGATAATCGAAATGCCTGCCTCAGAATGGTTATTTTGCAGGATGAATGAGATAACCCCAGTGTTACAAGCAGGTCATTCTGGGGTCATGCAACCTGCATGCCCTGCCGGGATTGTTCAGGGCTTTTTGTTTAAAACAAGCCCAGTGTGGGAAACAGATTCTCAAACACACAGACAATGGAGGTGATGATTCTTTCTAGGATCACTTCGCTTCCGTATTTCCCGAAGTGGCCACAGACCATGCATATCAGGAGAAACTAGAGTATTAGTTAAAAATGCATGCTTTTGGGTCCACCCCAAACTTTCTGAATTGGGTCTAGGCCAAAGCATGAGTTTTTATGGGTTAAAATTCTCTTTACGCCCAGCTCTTCCAGGCACGCACTCTCTGAAAACCTAGGTGGCTACTCCAGGTGATGTGGGATGTGACTGCAGGTCCACTTGTGGCTCTTTACAGCGATCTGGGGGCCTGGGAAGAGTGTGGGCTTCGGGGTGGGCTCAGCCTGTTTCCGGATCCTGGTTCTGGTTTTTCCTGGCTCCGTGATCTTGAGCATTTTCCCAGCATATGCCCACCTCGTGAGGTCTCTGTGGGGAAGCCGTCATCATCAGCTCACTCTACAGATGAGGAACTGACTCTCGACAAGGTCAAGTTCTCAGCCCGGGTCTGGTGGCTCATGCCTATAATCCCAGCACTTTGGGAGGCTGAGGCGGGAGGATCCCTTGAGGCCAGGAGTTCAAGACCAGCCCTGGCAACAGAGCGAGACCCTGTCTCTACAAAAATTAGAAAGTTAGCCAGCCATGATGGTGCACTCTTGTGGCTCTAGCTGACTCAAGAGGCTAAGGCAGTAGAATCACTTAAGCCTAGGAGTTCAAGGCTACAGTAAGCTATGATTGTACCGCTGGACTCTAGCCTAGGCGACAGAGCCAGACCCTCTTGCTAAAAAGAAAAAAAATTAGGAAAACAAAATTGGAAAAGAAAAGGTCAAGTCCAAGATCACTTGGTTAGCAAATGGCAGAACTAAAATTCAAGCTCAGGTCTGTCTGATGATCTTCCCCTATCTCTGCTCAGTTTCTCAAAGTGAGGCCCTGGGATCTCTTGCATCAGAGTTTAATTGTTGAGTTGTTAGATATGTACGTTTCTGGGCTGTCCCCAGAATCTCCAGAGACATCTGAGGTTCTGGGTTTGACGTAGGGCCCAGGAATCTCTGTGTTAACGAGCTCACAGGGAGATCTAACGGCAGGATGGAGTCTGTGGGCCCCATATGGCCGCCTGAGCATGATGTGTGCTCACTCTCAGCACTGAGCAGGCACGCCTATGGGGAGGACACCTACGTGATCAGCGCTCTGCCTCCGGCCGAGGTGCCTGCCTGCACTGTTGCCCCGGAGGAGGGTACTGTTCTGACGAGCTTCGCCATCTTCTGCAACGCCTCCACGGCCCTGGGACCCTTGGAGTTCTGCTTCTGCCTGGAATCAGGTACCAGCTGAGGACTCTGCTCTTCCCTCGGCTTCTGGGCTCATCTTCTTGCAGAACAGGGGCCTGTTCTCTATGGGAGCTGCAAAGAATGTGTTCTGTGTGTGAAAGAGGTTGCCAGGATGAGGGCTTCCCTAAAGCTTAACCCCTAGCCCCAAAACACTGACCCAGCCATCATTCCACCGAGACATGAGGAGAAGGTCTCATCAGTACCTCCTCCACAACTAGAAGCCCAAATCCATTGTCCTCGCATGGGGGACATTGATGGAGTGAAATGAACAAGGATACTCAAAACTATGACCTTGTAGGGCGGCCACCAAGACACCATCCCCCAAGCCCCGCTCACCACACACACAGACACACACACACACATGCACACACACACTCGGAGTAGCTGAGACTCCAAGAAACCTGGAGCTATTCAAGAAGACAGAGATGGGTCTGGTTAACAGAATCTTCAACAATTTCATTGATGCTGCTTTGCAGGCAGCCCCAGGGAATGGGTGATACCGCAGAACGAGCTGAGCTGAAAGAACATTTGCAAAGGTATACAGGTGACAAACATGGAAGATCCCATCCACAAGGCATAAAACCCTGCACAGTCTCCCTGCTGTCACCCTAACCACCCACATCCAGGGACAGCCACAGGGCATTAGCAGGAGAGATGGGGGAGCCACTCGCATTGCATTTATTCTTCCATTTGGGGAGTGATTGGTCCTTGGAGGGCTCATCTGAGCCCTTATCTCCACCTGGTGGGCTTTGGCTTCTTTTTTTAGTTTGTCTTTTTTTTTTTTTTTTTTTTTGAGACAGAGTTTTGCTCTTGTTGCCCAGGCTGGAGTGCAGTGGCACAATCTTGGCTCACTGCAATCTCTGCCTCCCGGGTTCAAGCGATTCTCTTGCCTCACCCTCCCGAGCAGCTGAGATTACAGGCGCCTGCCACCACACCCAGCTAATTTTTGTATTGGGTTTCACTATGTTGGCCAGGCTGGTCTCAAACTCCTGACCTCCGGTGATCCATCCGCCTCAGCCTCCCAAAGTGCTGGGATTACAGATGTAAGCCACGTGCCCAGGAGGGCTTTGGCATTTTGTGCTCTGAAAATGCTCTAGTCAGGTTGTAATTTTCCTCCAAAGTCAGGTACCAGGAGTGTTGCCAGGATGATCCCCCAAATCCAGCGTGAAACATCACAATGGTGTAAACATTGCACCTTGATTAGGGAAAGGGCACATCAGCTACTGTAACACCCAAGGGAGTGTAGTTTTCACAGTGCCCTGTCTCATAGATGTGGAAACACACCACTATTAAGAGGGCTGTGAATGGGGCTGAGTCTGAAAGGAAAAAGTTCAAGCAAGGTAAGTGGATTTTATTTCAAACCTGCGTCCCGCCAGAGGGAAAGGCCAGGACAGCTGCTCTAATTCCAATAGGCTAGTCTGCTGTAGTACCTCTCCCGCCTCATCCAAGTGAGCATGGAGGCAGGAAAGTGTGGCTACAGAAAAACGAGCCCCAGGCCAGGCGTCGTGGCTCATGCCCATAATCCCAGCACTTCGGGAGGCCAAGGTGGCTGGATCACCTGAGGTCAGGAGTTCGAGACCTAATTTTTACATTTTTTTTTGTAGATACAAGGTCTTCCTAAGTTGCCCAGGCTGGTCTTGAACTCCTCGCCCCTGAGCTAATTTTTAAGTTGTCATTGTTGCTCCTCCTCACCCTCTTCCTTCTTTTTCTTCCTCTTATAATTTGGTTTACCACCTTGACTTAAAAAAAAAAAAAAAAAACTGTAAATGGGATATTTTTCCTGCAATTTTTTTATGGATTTTAGTAAAATTATTCCAAAGTTACAGCAACCTGGAGTTGCTTAGAGAAGACAGTAAATCAGCATATGTGACTGTCTCTTACATGAAAGTGTGGAATCCCAAGAGCCTACTATGCCTTCAAGAGCTGTGACTTTTGTGTCCCTGTGATCAGGCTCTCCCTGAGTGGGTTGCAGTCTACCTGGGGCTTAGAGATGCCCCCTCATTGGTCCATTTCTGGTCTTGCCAGGTTCCTGCCTACACTGTGGCCCTGAACCTGTCCTCCCATCAGTGTATCTGCCACTTGGAAAGGAGAACAATGACTTCATGCTGACAGTAGTTATTTCTGCCACCAATCGTGCAGGGGACACACAGCAGACCCAGGCTGTGGCTAAGGTGGGTGGTGGCAGTGGCCACTGTTTCTTGACTGAGAAAAATTCTCCACCCTTTTGAACCTCACCAAAAAGATGGCTGGATGGAAGATAGCCAGGGGCATAGCCAGATGAGTCACTGATTCATCCATTCCTTCCACAAATATTTACAGGGCATCTACCATGGGCCACGTCCTGGGGGTATAGCCAGGGACGCAACAGACATGGTCTCTACATTTGTAGATCTTATGATTTAGTGGCCAGAATTGGGGGAGGGTCCTGGGAGCTGGTGGGTGAGGAGGGTTGGAGAATGACTCTGGCATGAGTTAGGCCAGCACCTTCAAAGGGCTCAGAGGAAGTAGGACCAAAATTAGCCAACAAGGACTCAAGGAAGGGCCTGGATAAGATCCCAAGATTTCAAGCATCAGAGGCCGGGTGGAGGCGGAAGAGGTTGAGACCAAGAGGAGGAGGGTAGCCAGTGGTAGAGCAATGACTTGTGCCAGCCTGGAGCTGACCAAGGCTTGGTTTGGGTGGCTGTCAGCTGCCTGGTGTGAGCAAGTCTGGGTGCCCTCTAGCCTCAGGAAGTGCCCAAGAACTCCCAGGTGAGGCCAAAGGCATCCAAGCCTGCTCTGGCCCCATGTGACTTCAGAGGCCAGGTTCTTCCTAGCAGGTTCTGAGCACATTTCTGATTTCCCAACAGGTGACACTCGGAGACACATGGGTTGAGGATGTAGCATTCCAGGCTGCAGTGTCAGAGAAAATCTCCACATCTCTGCAAGGCGAGGGTGGCCCCAAGCAGCTCCTCCAGCTGGCCAAGGCCGTGTCCTCCGTGCTGAACCAAGAGCACAAAAGCCAGGGCTCAGGACAGCCACTGAGCATGGACGTCAGACAGAAGGTGCCCGTGGGAAGAGGGGGGGCTCCTTTCATTCCCTTTCTCTGGGGCCCCAGGGTCTGCGTGTGGCCATTTGGGCTGTGCATCAAGGTTCATGGATCGGGGAGAAGCCTGTGGTGTCTCCCAAGCGGCTGACACCACCTCCCTCTCTCTTCTTTTGGGTGAGTGACATAAAGCGAAGAAAATGCCTTCTTCCTTGGTAACCTGCTTTCTCGGCTGGCCCTCATGGAGGCACAGGCCTCTGGGATGGGGAGAGTTTAGAACCCATCACCCTCTCCCCTTCATGTTTCAGATGACAAGGCAGAGCCCCAGAGGAGAAAGGGGACTGCCCTCGGTCACATGGGTAGTGGTTTGGGGTTGGACCTCAGATGGTGTCCCAGCTTTGTCACTTACCATTTGCATTGTCACAGGCCAGGGACAGTTTCAGTTTATAAGCCTCAGTTTCCCCATATGGAAAAGAGGAATAAGAATACTAGTCTCCTCATACAATTGTGGAAAGAATTAAATAAGAATTACAATCCCTGCAACTAAAAAACTAGATAAGATCGCCAACATTCAGCCAGTTTTAATCCACAAAAATGGCCGGTCCATGTTACAACCTAGTATGATAAACTATTGCAGAACCTACGATTGTGTCCACTCCCAGCGCGTGCCACATGAGTTTGCACGTGTGTGTGCATGCAAACACACACACACACACACACACACACACACACACACACTCCTGTGGGCATGGAGAAGAGAAGAAAGACTTCTTTTGGCCCCCTGAAATGTTTGCAGGAAAGTACTGAGTGTGGTGCTGGAGGCCCAGTAGGTACTTAATACAGAAAGCAGGATTGTCATTGTGATCGCTTACACAGAGAAACTAACATGTATCAAGCACCTGCTATGAGCTGCCAGGCCCTGAATGAGGGCTTCATGGATCTGTACTCCCCACTACAACCCTGGGAGGTAAATGGTGAGGCCTCCATCTGTGTTACAGCTGAGGAAACAGAGGGTAAGAGAATCAGAGGTGCCTCCCTGGGTCCCCATGTCTGGTAAGTGGTGAAGCCGGGGTTCAAACCCAGGTTAGAGGATCCCCCTCCACCTCCAGCCCTCTTACCCCAGACCTTTGTTCCACATTCCCTACCCCATCCCCTCTGCCACATACATACACGTTAACTCTCACACATACATACACACACTTTCACACACACTCTTATGCACACACACACACACGCACTCACATATGCTCGCACACACACACACTGACACACATGCTCACACACTCATAAACACATACATGCACTCATATTGACACAGGCTCACACTCACAAACTCATACACACACTGACAGGGGCTCACACACGGTCACACTCACATACACACACACACACATATGCACAAACAAACTCACATACATGCTCACACACATACACTGACACACTCACACATTCATACACACACATACTTACACCTACACACATGCTCTCACACACATACACACAC